AAAATCTACAGGTACCCTAAAATGTATGTAGATATTTATTCAGAATTGGTTGCACATAATGAAGCATAGACCGAACAGTAATGATCTTAGATTAACTTGTTAACCATCGCTCTTTTGGAGATAGCTGAGTGAAAGCTAGCAAAGTACGTTCCGTATGTATTTTTAGGAAATTAAAACACGGGTTCGTTATATTCACACGTGTAAATGCCCTTGGGAAACGTATGAAGTCATCTCTTCTCTCCTCCCAGTATGGGTTAAATAGCAGGACAGAATGCTTCCTATAGCCTTGGTTGGCAGCCAGTCAACCGCAGAAAGAAACAGCAACCTACTGCGGAAGAATCTTTAGCCGAGTCAGTCATAAATCGAAAGAGACATGATCGCTCAAATGTACATCACGTTTTGGCACTTAACTGACTGACTGACTTACGTCACATAGAACTGTTGGTACTGATAGGTAACCTTGATATATTTGTGAAGGATGTTGATGTAATTCAGAATTTACACTGGCAGCACCCAACTCCCACTTGCATACGGATAGAAAATGAATTTCTCATCAAACTTATTCAACATGCATTGCGTCGATTCCGAATGATTTAGAAGCCCTACCTGAATTCATTACTGGAGGTCACAATCTCAACAACATATGATATGCAGATGACACAGTGTTGGTAGCAGGCACAGAAAGGAAACTATGAAAACCCCTACAGAAGTTAGTGAAGAAAAGCTAGAAGTAAGAAAAAAAAACCAACTACAAGAAGGTATTATACAAAAGGAACAACCAAACATGCAAATTACAAATTGGGGATACTAAAATCAAACAAATATAACAATTTAAATATATGGGAAGTGTTTTTACAGAGAACGGAAAATGCAATACTGAAATCTGAAGGTGCATTGGCTTAGCGAAAGATGCCTTCGAAATGGTAATGAATGTATTCAGAAACCAGAAACTTTCGGTAAAAACAAAGAAAACTGAAATGTTGAAGAAGATACTCGAAGTAATAGAAATGTGGTTCTACAGAATTATGCTGAGAATTTTCTATGTAACTCGAGGGCCTTGTATAAGGTGAGCATTAGTATAAAAAGGTAGAATTTAATATGGAGAATAAGGAAAACGAATAAAAAAGAAGGAAGACAAGTAATGCCGACAACTTGATTGATTGATTGATTCGTTTTCTACGACATATTAACCCTTTGCAAATTAAAACCAGACGATATTTTTGGATTATAAGAATTTTTTCGTGGAAGGGGAGATAATAAGGATTCGATGGTACAAGTCTAATTAATACACCTATAGCTGGGGAGAGAAAAGGTGGATTCATAGCTTTCCCAAGCGTATTTGCGCGTAGGTGAATATAACGAACACAACTGGAATTGGAACTCTGCTCTCTGATTAACAATTTCGAGCCATTATTTATTACACCACCTGTACATCCAAGATTACATCACCTGGTATTACCAAACGGTCATTCATCTAGGTACCGATCAGGCTCAACGTTGCTTAACTTCGATGATAGTACTGGAATTGGTGTTTCAACGTGATATGGCCGTAAACAGAAAAATTATAAGAAAGAGTAGGAAAAGGAAGTGAATCAAACGAAGACAAAGATAACTGAAAAGGAAGCGCAAAGGGTAATTAATAAGGAAAAGAGAATAAATAATACTGGAAGAAAAAGTGAATGCTTTTAAAAAAAGAGGGACGTTATTTGGATTTTTGCTGTTTCATAATACTTTGTTTAGCTTTTTGCGGGGCATCTTTGGCTATTTCAATGTATTACTCTATATCTGTCAGCTTTTGTGCAATCTGTGATATCACTTCCCTGATAGTTAAATTTCTGTATTTGCTTGATTTTGAAGTTTCCAGTTTGTAGTTCGCATCTTGAGCCGCCCCTTTTCCCGGCGACCATATATTTTGTCACTTTACAAATGATGTTTACTACTTTATGCTCTCTTTCCTGTGCTTTTCTTTCTGATCGTTTCAAATAAATTTCGTTATAAAAACAAAGACAGCTGAACTTCTGTATAATATCACTCCTCCTATATGTCAGTAAATACTGGACTATTCATCACCGACAAAGAGGAAACATTGGTCAACAGAGATGTGATTCTACAGAAGGACACTGAGAATGCCATAGACGGAATGTGTGACCAACGGGGAAGTTTTAAGGAAAATGAAAAAAAAAAAAGAAGGAAACTTGTTATTAGAATCAGAAAGAGGCATTTGAAATTTTGTGGGTACATAAAAAGAAAAAAGGGTTCAGAGAGCTCCTTGAAGGCATGAGGCCCTGAAGGAAACAGTAAGAAGCCTATGCAACGAGCAAAACAGGGAGAGGGGTTGATAATAAAAGGGACTAATATTGCTAAGAGTGTTCACCCTGAACAAGGACCAGGAGCCACTCGAGGTAGAGAATTACAGAATAAGAGGCATAATTTATGTGGATATGTGAGGAATATAACGGTTAACCGTGGACTTGAATAGTTTAAGATTGTAGTGACCGGAGAAGCATCCTCTTAGGAGTTGGTTTCATAGAGCGGCGCTTCGCAGATAGAAGCTATTCGAGTGGAGCTTACGTCTCACCAATGGAATACAAAGGGAATGAGATTGGTTCGCTACAATGTGCGTGGTATGACGAGTCTTAACTGTGAAGGTTAGAACTAGTGGAAATAGCAATAGAATAGCATGAACTTCGCGACGTTTCGTCTTCGGGAAGGGTCTGTATGTTGGAAAATAATTCATTGTCTACAAGGACGTGGAGACAGAACTCTATCGAAACTGAAAAATGAAGACCAAGTAGAAAAATGAAGACCAGGTCCTGCTCACATATATGCTCAGCAGTACTCCATTTTTGGTCTCATCTGGCACTTGTAAAAGTAAAGCATAGCCGGATGAGTCAGGTTCTTACTGGAGCGGTACAGGGAATCGACCATTTTCCCAGCCTCTTTAGTAATGGGGCCTATGTATGAGTTCGGACGAGGTCTGGATTGAGTTTAATTCCCAATAGTCGCTCAAAGCACGGGTCTCCCTGAGGAAACATCCGTCCATTGTGATTGGTGATAGGAGCCATCATTGCCCGCCTACTGAAGGGATATAGCGCGTAAAAGAAGATATTGGATTAAGGTGGCTTTTACGAGATGTCAACGCTTGCTGGATTACTTAAATGCCGAATTTTGTAAAGGAAAGGAAAAGAGAATATTAAACCCCATGAGGTTAGAACTCATTTCTCTAATAATAGTCAAACAAACTAACCTTGCTAACCACTGCACCAACTGATGTGCCTATCTGCAGGAACAAATAGAAGAAAATAAAGACGAAAAAAAAATGAAGTTTATATTAAAAAGGAAATCAAGGGATAAAATGATTAAAAAATCCTCTGAAAGTTAGAAAAAATGAAAAAAAGAAAACGTCTAGTTGATATAGAGGAAGATTAGCAAAAACGGAACAAAATAGAGAGACATCGCGGAAAGAAGACGAAATATAAATCATAGGAAGTGAAAAATGCAAAAGAAAAGGCGAAAAGAATATCAAGGAGAATTGAAGAGAAGATGGGTAAATGTTGGGAAAAAAGAAAAGAAAGCGAATTATAAAATGAGTAAAAAGATGAAAGTAAAGATGAAGGAGAGATTTGTACAATAAAAGATCCAGATTTTGACAGACAACAAAGTTGAATTTGTAGTCAACGTACAAAGAACTGGCTAAGCAAGAGAAAAGAAAAAAAATAAGAAGAGAAAGAAAAAGAAGTGAAGTAAGTTGGAGAAATCTGCAAAATTGTTAAACAAAAGAAAACTATGGCGAATTGGTTGCAGCAGAAAACAAAGGTAGAAAATAAAGGTTAAACGAAAATGGAAGCTGATAAAAAAGAAGCAAAAAAAGAAAGCAGTAAAAAAGAAACAAAAAATCGACGAAGCGTTTAACGAAAATGAAGTATTTATTAGTAAAAGAAAGAAGAATAAAAGAAAGAGAACATTAAATGAAATGAAATATAAATAAAAAAAATGAAATTAAATAATGAATGTAGAACTACATTGGATTCACCTGATTGCTGTGATTGGTTTGGCCATTCATATAGTGAAAAAGAAGCAGAGAAAAAGAAAGGTCAAAAATGAACTATGGGAGTGAAGAAAAAGAAAGTAAAGGAAAAAAGAATAACGAGAAAGTGATCATCAAATAAATAAAAATTAATGTAAAGCTACATTGGATGGACATGCTAGCTGAACTATAGCTTTAGAACTTTCATGTAAGTTTTCGAACAGTATGGCTTAAACGTGGCGAGCTGGAGTAATAATTCGTGCTACTACTGTCGTCACTAATGTTATAGCTATTTCAAAGTTGATAACAGTGCCAAGAAAAATGCGAAGAATTATCGTGAGATCTTGGACAAATTGGTACAGTTCAAAATCTTGAATCTTTAAACTAAAGGATATATTCATGCAAGGCAATATCCCATCACATTCAATGAAGCTGAACTATTATCCAACTTGTCAAAAAAAAAAAAAAATAAAATAAAATAAACAAACCAAGTTCAAAGATCCCCAAATAGTGTAATAACCTCCAACCTTTTTAGGTATTAATTCAGCAGAAAACATGATAATAAATAAACATAATAAAATAATAAAAAAAAAGATATTATGAGTATGGAAAATGATATTCAACATTAAGATCTCTGGCAAGCAATAAAAGATGTAACAAATGTTACAATTGAAACTGCAGAAAAATGAACAAAATCAATGAATAAAATATTTATGAAGGTTATAGAATATCAAATAGCCATATATGAAATAATAAAGTAATAATTTATTCACGTATATGGAATATTGAGTTATTCGAAAATGTGTCTCAGGCTTATATCTTTTAGAATTATTTGCAAATTAAAACTTATGTTTAGCTTGTTTTTGCATAATAAGTACTTAATATCTGCAAAACAAGCGACTGTCGATATATTTTAAAAGGACAGATATTTTAATCACTCATCTTGTGGTCATAAAGATTTCTTGAAAATTTA